GGCCCGGGCTGGGGATTCGAACCTGCCACCTTAGGTGTATGTGGCTGGCGCCTTAGCCGCTTGAGCCACAGGTGCCAAGCCGAAAGATCCAACTCTTGTGTCTCCTTCTCCAGCCTCTGTGCCCTGATTGCCCAGCCCTCACTGCAATGCAGGGATCTATCATAGCTCTATTAGAGGGAGTGAGAAAAGCTGGTTCCTAGCTCCCTGGACTACTGCTTTCTTCCTTTCCTTGAATTCTAATGAGTTCTCAAAGCCAATGGGCTTTGAGGGTCTACTAACTCTCTACCTCTCTGCTCCAAATCCCCCCCCACATGCCCGCTGGCATTCCCTACTGCAGCCTCCAACTCCTGGGCTCAAGTGATCTTCCTGCCTCAGCCTCCCAAATACTTGGGAGTACAGGCACATGCCACAATGCCCAGCTGACTTTTCTTTCTTTTTCTTTTTTTTGAGACAGAGCCTCAAGCTATCTCCCTGGGTAGAGTGCTGTGGCATCACAGCTCACAGCAACCTCCAACTCCTGGGCTCAAGTCACTCAGCCTTCTGGAAACAGGCTTTTGCTGCCTTCTGCCTCTGGGCCTTCACATAGGCTATTCCCTCTGCCTAGAATATATTGCCAATGTATTCTGCAGCTGGGTAAAGCCACCCTACTTCCACTCTCAGCAGATAAGTCATCTCCCCAGAGAAGCACTCTCTGATCTCCAGGCTGGACAGGGTCCCTCCTCTGTGCTTCCCAGCACCCTGGACTTTGTTATCACAGTTCTAGTCCTTCAGAGTGATAATAGGATAGTGATAACATTCCTTCTAGAGGAATGGATGTCTTATTTATTTATTTATTTAGTGACAGGATCTCACCCTATCATCCAGGCTGGAGTGTAGTGGCCCAATCATAGCTTACTGTAGCTTCTAATTCCTGGCCTGAAGCAATCCTCCTGCCTCCGCCTCCCAAAGTGCTGAGATTACAGGTGTCTGGTTTTGAAAGATCCAACTCTTTTTTTTTTTTTTGAGACGGAGCCTCAAGCTATCCCCCTGGGTAGAGTGCTATGGCTTCACTGCTCACAGCAACCTCCAACTCCTGGGCTTAGGCGATTCTCTAGTTAGCTAGATGTGGTGGCATGTGCTTATAGTCCCAGCTATCATTTGAGGCCAGGAAGCTGAGGCAGGAGGATCATTTGAGGCCAAGTCAAGACCA